GTCCACAAGATGAACCTTCTTCCCATTTTTTGTACTTCCCCAGATGAAACCAGGAATCTTTCGATCGATATAATCTCGAACACTAACTGGTAAAGTATAGTCTGTATAGTGTAGGCAAGTAAGGAGGAGAGCACTGCTTGAGCAAGAGATATCCGACCTGCTAGAGATAGAGAGTTGGCCTTTCATCCTGCAAGACGATAGTCAATGCGGTTAATCAAGTCAACAAATGTGGACTTCGATACCCTGTCATGGATAACTGGAACTTCGAGATAGCGCCCCAGATTAGCTGTTTGAGGAATTCCCAAGGCTGCACTCAAACTGTTACGTTGATCTATAGTAACATTTGCCCAGAAAAAGACTCTCGACTTCTGCTTATTAATCTGTTGTCCCGACGAGGCACTGAACTGGGAGAAGCAGTGGTTAATATTACTCTTTTAGTTATTACCCTTTAGTTATTGGGATAAAAATTATTATCATTGGAGGATTCGGCCCATAGTAGTGATGGCCAAGTAAACAGTTACTAGCTTATTACCCGGCCCGTTGGCCGGATTACTGTATGTTACCCACTTATGGAATGGGAGAGAAAGCAAGTGAGAGTGAAGGGATTGGGATTCCACTTGATTAGGACCGACCCACTAATCCAATTCTTCTCGACCCGCCCCAACCTACAGGGTCAGAAAGAGTCAATAAGAAAATACGAACGGGGAGGATTAGTCATATATCTTGACTCTTCAGAAGTGGGTCAAACAGGATCAAGGTTGGGTGAGGGCAATTTTTAGCGCTAAGCAGAGTTCTGGGTTGAATACCTTTACTTAGGCCTAGAAATTGGTGCTGATGCAGAATGCAGTTTTTATTATACCATCATCAATCATCATTGAATTAGTCCTGGGCATCCCTCCCCGTTGTCGGTCTGAATTCTAATGATGGCTTCATTCCTTGCACCAGCCATATCAGCGAGTTGCCATCTCGAGCATGATTTGCCTATGTACAAATAATACAATTAGAGTATGAAAATGAATTCAATGAAAAGGAAAAGAGAATTCTATCACATGCCAATAAATACACACATAATAGTTGAAGCTAAGTGAAAGTCATTACTCGCACATCAATTCTCAAAATTTACAGACTAAACATTGGCTAGAATGGCACTGAAACTACCAAGAATCATGGACGAAACAACTTGTCAAATTAAATAATCCTTATACTGAAACTACCTTCTAACTTGAAATAAGACACGATCACAGTTCATAGCTCTCTTCTCACTATGAATTGGTTGCAGCTCGTCCTTATCACTGCCTCTCAAGCTCAATTCAAACAGAATAGAGAACGTTATGTAAGATAACCATATTCTTACTGATCATAATTCCTTTCTTCACTCCATTTTTGTCGGAGAAAAGAGTTATCCCCCCTCTCCTGCATTTCCCTTTCCCCCTCTCTTCTCCCTCTTCTTCACAAACCGATCCCTAAACCAGCAACAACAACACAAAAATAGCCTTCGCCTCTCCCGTCTCCATCTATTGAACGAGTTGGTGGCAAGACAGGACTGCAGAAGCAAAATTTTCTAAAATCAAACTAAATTTTTTGAAGCAGACTCAACCACGAAAAAAGAGTAAAGCAACAATGCAGTAGAACCCTAAATTTAACTACAATCAAGCACATATCAGCAAGATTTTCGATTTGTCTTAGAGTTAACTACACGGAGAGAACAATTGATGCATAATTGAAATGCTCCAAGCAAGTTGAAGGCAAACCATAACTTTAGAATTTGGTCATTATAATAACCTTCAAGTATTGATGCTTCTAAGAACTATCATGTCCAACCCCCACTTATACAACTACGTAGCCATAGTAATTAGTTGTATAATGAGAAATATTACAAAGCAAACTACATAAACAACCAATGTAAGTAAATATTAAAACTAACAACTGATAAAACTTAAAATCTCTCTATTGGTATAAATGTATCTATTAGTAACTACTATGCAATCGAGTATATATGATTTTTAGGCACTGAATAAGAAAAGTATAGATGGCTCACAAATGAAGACGTAGCAACTGAAGGTAGCACACAAAAACCAAAAATAGAAAAAGAGATAAGAAAAAAGGCGAGAAAAAGTCAAACAAAGAAAAAGCCCACATAGGAATACCTCGCTAGCTTTAGGGACTCTCTGCCACAACAAACAACCTTCTTAAAAATCTAACACCCTGAGACATCAAACAAACCTCCCACGACACTAATGTATGGCATTCCTATTGTCCAATAGGTTTGCCCAATTTAGACTTCTAAATAAATGGATTTTTCACCATTAAACCAAAACTCACAATCATTAACAGTTAATGCAAAGACATACATTTCTGAGGTCAATCACAGCATTTAAGCATAATTTTTAGTTGAAAAGAACAACTAAGTATTTAGCTAAATGATATAGTAGAATGGACACAATCTGCTACCTACTAATGATATAAACGTGTACCGGTACCATCGTTGTATCCTGACTTGCCATTTGCAACGGGCACTTTGAAAGACAGCTGCATTTTAGAGAATAAACACCCATAAGGGCGTTACGAAACCAAGCTTAATCCAAAATCTTCATATTCCACTTCGAAAACTCCATTTTCAAAAATAAGAGAGTTTAACATGTCAAATCACTCATTTGAAAAATCTCAAACAACTATTAATCAATGCAATATAATGGCACGTTCCAAATTATTTAGTTGTAGGAATAATCCCAAATAATTATCAATTAATGCCCCAACTACCTAATGTGCAGAATAGCCCTGGAGCTGTGCTGTTGTTTGCGTTGGTCTACCTTCAAACATAACATAGTTGCATCACGAACCAAAGAAATTAAGCAAAAATCTTCATATTCCAAGTAGAATGACTCAATTCAAATTGGCCAACGCTTTATACATATTGTTTACCCCTGGACCTGTTGCACTTGCGCCTTCAGATCTTCGTGAACACAATACAATTGCGGAGAGGAGGCTGTCAACGGAATAAAAATTGTTAATTAAGTGAATCACCATACAACTAAACAAACGCGCTCTTCTTGATTAGCTATCAAAATAGTGGGGGTCGCTACAATCCATCGGTTGCTCCCTCTGCGCCTAAGTTGTAGCTATTAGGTTTCAGTGAGAACTTTGAGTACATGAGGAGATATTTTGTAGTGGAGGAGATGACCCGGCGAGTAGAATAGGAAGATTTGGAGAGGCTGCGATGGGCAAAGCAGTTAAAATCGAGATTTTACCTAAAATCGAAAACTGAGGTAAAATCAAAATCGTATAATCGAATCGTAAAATCGTAGGATTTTAAGTACCATATAGAACATAGCATATAAGAATATTAATAAGGTAAATTATTAATATCACAAAGACACATAGAATTTAAAATGATAATTTAGAAGATTTTTTTTCCATAAGATAATTCTCAAGATTAATGTTCCAAAATCACTATTTTAATTGTTATTTAATGTGTAACTCAAAATAATTCATGATGAAGGGATATAGTTCATGGGTTTGGCTCTTATTTTCATGTTATGTCTAGGTTGTTTAACTCAAAGTAATATTTCGACATCGTCTACTAAGTATGATTTAAAACTAAAAATAATTGAACTCCAATAAAATAAGTAATGTTAGTGGCTTGGTACAAATATATTCATTAATAAATTAATTAGTTAATAATGATGTTAGTTCTTACATACTTCCAATATTAGAACAGGTGTTTTACCAATAAGTTAAATGGGGTGAAGGGAAAGAGATTAACCGAACCCTAATTTGGTTATTTTTATTATTTTTGAATATTTTTCTAATAGAAAAATATCTGAGAAGATTCCATTGCCCTTTCCGCTGAAACAGTTATACTTATTTTAAATTGGCTCAAACCACCTATTTTGTTCTCTTACGATCAAAATCCCGATTTCGGTACTATTTTACGATTTTAACGATTTTAGTCCCGATTTTAAACGATTTTAAGGTCCACCGATTTTATAGTAAAATCAAGATCGGAATCCCTAAGTAAAATCCTACGATTTTACGATCAAAATCCCGAATTTGACTGTATTGGCGATGGGTGCACGATTAGTGGGCCAAATAACAGTTTGGGCCCGTTTAAATGAAAACATATTTTTACTTTCGTGCTCAACAGACCGACCGCACTGGCATCTTCTAAATTTACCCCAAAAAATTGCTCTGTACGCATCAAATTTGAAATGGAATCTCTCTTTTCTCATTTCACATTTCACATTTATATGATGTGTAGATTGTGATGAGTGTAGATGTAGACCTGTCATTGTCCTACAAATTCATTAACACGCCAAAAAGTGGTGAAATGAGCCACCCTATTAAACACAATCTTGTATAATGATCATTGGATCTAATCATGCCAGATTATGAAGAAGTTTAAAATGTAGCGGTTATCCCGACTAAAACATTAAAAGAACTAGTCTCATATAGTTTGCACAAAGATATAATTTCTCCATAGTAATTCTGAAAAATAATATTAATTTAAGAAGTCGATATTGCTTCTACATGTTTAATATTGCAATTCGATATGCAATATTCGAACCAGTGATATTTGGGCTGCAATTTTAGGGTTATTGTATATTTATAAAATAGATAGAAATTTAAATTAAGTATTAAACTACAACTAAAATAATCAAAGTATTAAAACACCAAATAAGTACTTACGGGAGATTCAGTGGCCAACTAATCTTTAAAAAAGTCATATGATTTTCATAATTTAGGTTCGTATATGTTTGAATTTAAATAGATACAATAAATATACTTAGTCTGATTGGTTATGATCCTTGCTTGCCTTTAAAGAGACCAAGATTCAAATCTCAGTGCATGCCTTTTTTATGAATAAATAAATAAGAAAATATCAGCTTTTATTTATTATCTAGACTAGACGTGCCGAGTCATATTAGTTCAGAGTGTTGGGTCATACTTTGAAATTCAGGTTAAATCCAATTAATTAATTCTCTAATCCTTCCGCCGGAGCAGCTTTTGACTTTTCTCACCGTTCGTCTTGAGATGGCAACTAGAATTCTCGTCCGGGCTAGGCAGCCTCTCCTCCTCCAACTGAAGTCTCCTCAGGTTTCCCCTTTCATATCGATTATTCTGAGTTTTGTTCGTCATCAGGGGTTTAGCTTCTACGTGCTTTTTCCGTTTGTGGTTTAGGGTTTATGCACGACGTCAAGGTTGCTGGTGGACATTAGTAGGTCGTCAAGTCACCGGAGGTTTAGTGTGCTCAATGATGTTAAAGAAGAAGTTAAAAGGTAATTTATCCTTCCTCGTAAACATGTCTCCACGTTAACTTTTACCCGGCTCTCTGCTTTCGATGGGGACATATATAGTATCTGTTGGTGGTAAAATTTACCGCTTAGACTGGAAGAAAAAAGTGACCGCCGTTCCAAATCGCTGAATGTAGAATGAAGCAGACAACTGTGAAGCTGTGTAAGCATGCTGATGGCTTCCGGTCAGAGACGGAAGCAACTGCTGAAAAGGTATTAAGTTGTGCACGTTCAAGCATATATATGGGTTTTGCTCGAGGCAATCCAGTTTTTGCAGCTTATTGTAAAGGCTACATAGTGGTAATGGTTAATCTCATGTTGTTTCAGGTTGCATCAAGTGTCCAGGAGAAGATTTCTGCTGCTATGAAGGAGGTCTGACCTGCCGGTTATTTGGTTCAGCCATTAGCAAACGCACTGTAGGATTTGAGTTATGCTCACAGCTTTAGTTATGTAGGTGAAAGCAACTTCGACGATGGGGAAGCCAGAGCCTGCTGAGTCAACTGACAACTTGTCCGAAAACATCAAAGCAAACACCAAGGAGGCAGAAGCATTGTTTGGAAAATTCAAGTCACGAATCCCTGGCTTTTCTTCAGCCTTCCAAACAATGGAAGAGGCAAAGCTCAATGAAATAATGAAGGCGGCCTACGACATTGCGAAGGAAGAGTTAAATGACGTTATGAAAGATGGATCGAGTGGTGATCGAAACGCTGGAATGCACCTCGAGCTCACCCCTTCTGTAGGAGAAACAAGCACAAACATGACTGATGTTGCTCCAATGTCGAATCAAAAGGTGTAATCTTCTTCATCCTGTATTTGTAGCCAAGTTTGTACTTGTCCATTTGCTTCTTTCTTGGTCTGTTTGATGCCATCTTTGTTTATTTTGGTTTTTACCATAACATTGTAAGTTGTTTGTCTCTTCTTGTTAACAGCTCGCAGAAGACATGGGGGAAAGGTCCGAGACTGCAAGTGACAATCCCATTGTTGACAAGATTCAAGAGTATGCATTGCTCCTTTCTGCATTGGTAGTTTGAGTAATAATATCTTGAGGCATTTTGTTGACAGCATAACATATTTCCTCCATGTGACTGTCTGCAGCAGCGTTAGTGATACCAAAACAGCTGTTGCTGCAGCACCTACCAAGGGAAAGGGAAGACGTCGATTCTTGAATTATAAGGTCCTTTTATGGTGCCTCTTCATATCCATTCTCGTATATATTTCCTACTTGGTGTTGGAGGCAATCGCAACGCTGTTCGCCATGTCCATCCTTGTGATGGTGATGATGATTGTGCTTTTCGCCCTACCTATCGTGATGCTAGGTGGTGGTGGGTGTGACGGTGAGTCTGAGTTTTGACCGATGGAGTTCTCGCTGAGCTGTGCGCATTTTGGTTCACTCATGATATTTCGGATTATTTGATCTTTATGGATAGTTTATCTCGTTGTTAAGTGTTTGTGAATAAGGATGTTGTTCTAGTGATGTTTCGTCATGTGTGGGTAAAAGTTTACCTATCTCTACTTGTCATTAATTTAGCGACGGATTACAAAATTCACGCGTAATTATATGGAATCAGATGTGAATCGAGTTTGAATGTTCATGAAGTCGGAGTCTCAAACAATTATCTTGAAGCCCTAGTTAACAAGGAGCATGACAGAGTTGTCTGTGTGTACTGTAGGATGAGAAATAGAACCAGAAGCCACCTTGTAAGGCAGAAGTAGGTGAAGTAAAAGAAACACCAAAACTAGGCCGCGTTTTATTACTTATTCATTCATTCATGGGTCGGCTGCCTACATCCCAACTCGGTACTAACCAGCCTTATAGTAGTAGCCTTTCTACTTCTCTAAACGCCTTCCAACATAAAAAAAAAAAAAAACAAGAGAGAAACTTACAAAAGGAGTTATTCATTCCTCTCCTCCTCAATCTCTACAAGAGAAGGAGCCCTTTTTTTTTTTGTTCCTCATTTTCTTAGCGGCATTGGAAAGAAGGAGCAACGCCAACGTCGCCCCCATCACCAGACAGTAAAAGAAGAGAGAATCCTTCTAAGCAACAGGAGTAGTCGGGTAGCGGCTGCTGCTGCTGCTTCCCCTGATAGGGGAGAAGAGCATGGACTCCGGGTCCCTGTTGCACTTGAGCTGCTCTGCCTCCCTTGGCGACATCTGGAAAGCGTTGGAGAGCACGTCGATGGGCATCGCCCTCATCACCGAGCTGTACCCTGCCATCTGGTGCTTCATCGTCCTACCGGAAGTCTTGAACGTCACGTACTCGCACCCTTGGTTCCCTGCCATCCCCATGGTGGCGAAGAACTGCGGGATCACAAACATTTCCCCTTCCTGCACCCTGTTGTTCATGATCTGGTTCCCCTTGTCGTCCGAGATCTGGACCTGCAGGTCGCCCCGGAGCACGTACACTGCTCGGTGGTCGGTCATCGACCAGTGTGGGGTGTACATTGCTCTCTGTGTCACATGAGAAACAAGATTCAATTACTCAATTGTACTTATGAATTTTTTTTTAAGGGGTAAGGGTTTAATTAATTTGATTTACCGGCATGATGGAGCCTCTCTCTGCGCTCATGTCCAAGAAGCCAAGGATTGGGAGCTTGTCGCGGTTGGCAATGTTGATCCTCCCGGCCTCGCGGGTGAAGAAATCGGCCTGGACGGGTCTCTCGAGGTTGTGCTTGATCTTCATGTTGCAGAAGCCCTCTTCGATTCCATTCTCTTGTTGCTCCTCCTCGTCGGCGGCGGCAGGGAGGCTCTTCTCGTCGTTCTCGTTCACGTAATGGCTGCCGCGCTGACCTTGACGGCCCCATCCCATCTGCTGCATCTGCTCTTCCTCCTCGGTGACGAACCTCATCTCTTCCTGGCACCTCACGATCATTCCCCTGTTGTCGTTCTGCATCCTCCTCACGGTTTCGGTCTGGACATTGAACGCCTCGGCGATGAGCTCCTCGTCGAAGCCCTGGAAGATGTTGGGGGACATCCACTGCTGTCCCTCGGTTCCACGCCAGCCCCTCCTGCTTCCCTGGGAGCCACGCCCTCGGAGTTCCCTCTGGCTCTGCCTCGCGTCGGATCGTCCACCTCCCAACAAGAACCCCTGCTTCCAATTCCAATCAATCCAAATCAAAATTCACACAATTACACAAATTAAGATGGAAAATTGTCATGGGTTGATTGATTACTCTGAAGTTCTGATCGAGCTGGTTGAGGTCGTTGTTGAGGTCGACGATGGTGACGTAGATTAAGTCCTGATTGCCGTCGTTGTACGACCACGTGGCGGCGCCGTGTGGGATGGCGACGATGTCACCCTGCTGGATGCGGTGGATCTTCTGGTGCTCGTCGCCGCGCCCGCTCATCATCCTCCTCGGGCCGCGCTGGTACTGCTGCTGCTGCTGCTGCTGGCCACCGCTGTGGAAAGTGGGCGGGCAGCCGGGGAAGTTGATCCCGAGCACTCCCCTGCCTTGCTCGATGTAGACGAGGCGGGGAGCGGGGAAGAATTTGGGGACGGAGAGGGACTGCGGCTCGATGACGTCGCGGAAGGGAGCGATTCCGGCGCAGATGAACTGGTCCTCCTGGGAATCCCACACCTCGGTGACGCCTCCCTCGTGCTGCATGCGGATAGTGGGCTGGGAGCTGGAGATCCTGTCCATGTTGCATTGCTGGGCTTGGAGTTGGTACTCCAGGGGCCTGCTCTGCTGCTGGCTCAGGGCTGAGGCAGAGGCGGCGAGGAAACAGAGGAGGAATGGGATGAGTAGCTTGGTAGCCATGATTGAGGGTTAGGAGGCGCTGTGTGTTTGTATGGTGAAGGGAGTGGGGAGTGAAGTGAGGAAGGGGATGGAGGGAAGGCGGGAATTTATAGGCGGGAGGTGGGGGGAGAAGGAGACGGCGGGGAGGTGGGTTTGGCGGTATTTGCATGGCGGAGGTGGCGGGGAGGGAGGAGAGGACGGCGACACATTGCAGTCGGAAGGGGATTGAGGTGGTGGGTACGTGCCGGCGTGGCGGGAGAGCTTCATTTTCGACCCACCAGATGGCGTACCATCTTCTCTGCAGAGCTCAGAAATGGAGAGTGGAGTGGGGAAGCGAACTAACAAACAATTTTCCCATCTCTCACCCGTCTCTGTTTCTCTGTTCTATGGTGACAATTGAATGCATGTTGATTCATATAAGTTTAACCAGAGATTCACAGTGGGAGAGGAGAAACTAAACAAGTAATTGAGTGGAGGCAGGAAGCTAAAAACTTAGAAGTTTTGCTGCGAAAGGGTAAAACAAACAATATGAATTCATCTATTAAAGGACTCGAGTGCTTACTTCAAAGTTTAAGAATCAGTTTGCCACAATTTATTGATGACATGCTCGCTCCCTAACTCATTACCGGTGATGCCAATGACGCGGGTTTGCCTAAACTATCCTTATCCTTGCTTTCAAATATACATATTCGTACCCGCCCCATGCCCATACGGGAAAATTTTTGCAAATTCATTCTCATATCCGTGGGTTTCGGGTACCCATAGGTAATGCCCGCCCCGTACATCCGACATTATAATACCTAAAATTTTACATGTAAATTCTCAATTATAACTTTAAACGCACCTACTATCGTGAAGTTGACAAAAAAACAATCATTCTTTATATGATTCAAAGCATCGTATCCTAAACAATCCATTAATCCATAAGATAGAGTACAATATAATGGGGTAAATGACACATTTGGTCACTGAGATTAATAAATCGTGTCATATTTAGTCACTAGAAAAATTTAATATCAAATTTTGTCACTCGAATTACTGACACAGGTCACATTTGGTCACTCTTCTGTAGCCTCTGTCCAACTCCGGTCACTCGAATTATTGAAAAATGTCACATTTAGTCACTCGTATTACGGAAACATGTCACATTTAGTCACTTTGCCAAAAGTTTCCGTCCAACTACATTAATGGTTTTGGACGGAAACTGACGGGAGAGTGACTAAATTTGACCAGTTTCGGTAATTCGAGTGACCAAAATTGATATTAATTTTTTCTAGTGACTAAACATGACACAATTTAATAATCTCAGTGACCAAATGTGTCATTTACCCCAATATAATGTAATACAAATCATTATTCTCTGACTCTGATACATCTACTAACTAATAACAAACTAACATAATCTTGTTAACACAAGGGGAAAAGTGAAAGAGTGAAGGGAGAGTTGGCGAAAAGGAATTATATTTTGGGTGGTCACTCAATTGCATTTCTAATATTTATTTTCTTGAGGTACCCTCACTATCATTGATATATCACAATTTCATCCATATATTTTTTATATGTGAAGAAATGCTCTTAGTGGGGCGTGTATGGCTATGGGTATGGGGCGGGGGAGGCTAAAACCATACTCGCCCCATACCCATCAAATATTTTGCGGGTTTTACCCATACTCGCACCATACCCAGTCAATGCGGGGAATCCCCGCGTTGACTGGGTCGGGGGCGATCGGATACCCGCGGCCATATGTTTGATTTCCATCCCTACTCATTACTGATGTTCCTCCATTAATTGTGTTGATTCTCTTTAGTTGGGTTAACAGAATCGAAACGGTTAAAAACTCAAAAATTAAAATAGTATGTTTACCCAAAACCAACCTGTTAAAGGCTTATCGATTTTCGGGTAACCGTAACTCGATAAGAGCTTATCGGTTTCGGTTAGAACAAACCAAAAATCAAAATCCCAATCATCCCTAATTAAAATCAGAACCCCCTTGCATCCCTCAACTATATGTTCGGTTTTAGTATTTTATCGGGTTTTTTTGTGTAAACAGAAACTGATAAGAAAGATACAAACCAAGTTGAAATAAAAAATCTAAAACCAGTATAATTCTTATCGCTCTAGTTTTAGTTTAAATAAGTGTTATTAAAACCGAGCCGAGCCGGTAGGTCCGACCGGTAAACTGTCACCCGGTCGCCAAGTCGGCTCGGATCAGTCAATAAACCGCAATGACTTTCGGAGCGGCTGGCAAGCGGTCGAGGCGGTTAATCGCTAGAACCGTTTGAGCCTCTCGCCTGGTTTTTGCCCTTCTGACCGAGAGAGGAAAGAGAAGAATGATGGTCCAGGAGAAGGCGACCCCTGTCAAGCATTTTTAACACAAATGGTGGAAGTAGCGCCACGCATCCATCAATCGAATAGATTTCCATCTCATGCTAGTCTTGATTGTCGGTTGTGACAGCGGTGACAGAGTTTTGGCATCGGAGGAGGAGGGGGGATGACTACATTTTTTGTCGGGTTTGGAGGGAGGATATGTGAAGAGGAGAAGGGTGGACTAGGAGGGTGCGGGGAGACGAATGAGAAAGATTAAGGCATTCATTGTTGTCTTGCTCTAGAGAAGGAAGTGATGGGATGAAAGAATACCACTCAATTTTCAATTTCAGGGAGAAAGAATTTGAAACAAAGAGAGGTGAGAAGCGGCGCTGCCGGTGGGTTGGAGGGTAGGGTTTTCTTAATTTGCTATATATATATGGTGGAAATTACTAATTGGTACATGAAAAGTAAATTTCATTTTCATCATTAAATTGTTAACTTACTACCTTATGTGGCCTCCATTTCTTTTTGGTCGGAACCGGAGCGCTAAGAGGCGCTCCAACCCTTAATTAATGATTGAACGAGTGGTTTGAACCCCAATAATGTCGTAATACAACCAATATCCCAAACACATGTCCGGCGTGTCAAAAACATGCAAGCCCACAGGTTGTGAATGACCCATAGAAGCCAAGTAGTCGGCAACAAAGTTACCCTCCCGAAAGACCTGTTTGATGGTGATCTTCCCGTCCAAAGTCAAGAATAGTCGGATAGACTGCAGAAGCAAACGATTAGGGTGGGTTAATGGGTTCGCCTGTATCAGCGGGATGGGTGGTGCAGAGTCTGTCTGAACCTCAAGCTTCCGAAGTCCCAAGTCCCAAGAAATATGAAGGCCTTGCTCAATGCCTTCCAGCTTGACATGGGTAATCGATCCTCCCCTCAGATTCGACGTGAAAGCCTTGAGCATCTGTCCGCCACTTCTCCTGATCACTCCCCCTGCCTCTATTATGATATTAGTGTTTATATAAGGTACTGGTTCTCTAACGAGTTTTTAACGGTTTAATACTGGTTGGACTAATAAAATGCGAGTCATTCACGTTACCGGGTCATATTCCGATTCGGTTATGACAACATTGGTTTAAATAGAAAAGCCAAAACCGATGTCTCATGCCTATCCTCCACTCCTACTATTATTATTAGCTTATGGGCATGTATTCTGCAATGGGTTGATGTCAGCTCGATAAATTTAAAATTAATCATTCTTATAAAAAAAACTCAGTAATCATTTCAGACTATAAGTTCGAATCACATGCTTTTATGGCTCATCTAATTATTCATGGAGGCGGAATAATATTGTGTGTGCATGTTAGGCTAGTACTAAAAGAATACTATGAATTAACCTTACTTCAAAGGGAACAATACAAAAAAACAAAGGCATAAAATATGTAAAGGGAGAACTAAGAAGGGATAAAGACATAGTTAACTAAGATCGTGCTTTGGCATACATGTTTTTTATGGGCAATCAAATTTTTTTATTAAGCTAAGGTGGGGGTAAACTAGTCTCCCCGCACAAAGGTACAAATACATTAAAACTACGGTTTTGTAACTAGAAAAACCTACACACACTACACCTTCTACAAGATACAAACCAGAATCACTACTTTCACTACTATCAGACAAAAGCTATGTTTCCATATGCATGGAAATCAGCTTGTAGAGCCATATTTCCTACAATGGCCAACTCAACAATGCACTTAATACGAACACAAACACCTCCAATATCCGTAGCTTCCCCTTTGTATAACCTCTTGCACCTTTCCTTCCACAGAACACTTATAATTAGATTCCAAATCAATCTCCCAATTTTTACAGAAGCTTGTTTACCCTTGAATGTTCTCACTGCCCAAGTACAGAATTCCTGGAAATCACAACATGGGTGGAAAACTCTGTTAACCAGCCTAGACTGTACTTGAGGACTTCAACCAAGAAAGGACAGAGGAAGAACAGATGATTCCTGGTCTCCACCCCTGAGTTGCAGAACAAACATGTGTCATCTCCAGTCTTCCCCCAAGTTTTGAGTCTTTCCTTAGTACATATTTTGTCTTTTAGAACTAACCAGCTCACAAGGTTATGCCTTGTCAGGTTGTATTGTGACCATAGCAGAGAGTACCAAGGAACTATATGATTCTTTTCCCTAAGATCTTCCATTACCTTCTTCACAGAATATCTAGGAACAGATCTGTTATTCCAAAAAAGTTTATTCCCTCAACAAGTAATGAAAGGTTACACCTTATCCCTTACCTTCAGGAACTTCCTCCACATCCAGGTGCTACAGCTACTAGGCCTTACCTGCAGAAAGAGGCTGACTTAATTCTATACCTGTAAACCCAAGCCACCCACTATGAACTTCCTTAATCAAAATGTTCCATACATGTCTTGCTGCACATGCCAGATTCCAGACTCTCATACATTTGATGCCTAGCCCACCTTCTCTCTTAGGGAAAGTAAGTTTATCCCAAGCAACTACTGCTTTATATCTCATAGTATTATCGTCAACCCCCCCACAGAAAATGACTACAATTCACTTCAATCTCCTTTATAACAGCCATAGGAAGCAAAAACACGTTCATCCAGTATTGCAGAAGACTACTAATAACAGAATTGATCAACTGAACTTTACCTGCGTAACTCAATATCTTTGGCTTCCATCCAACAAT